TATATATATATATAAAACATTTTACAGTTTTAAATATATTATTTTATTTTGTACTACAAAAAAGATGTATAAAAAATTGCTTCCGCAAATGCTTTACAAAAGTTATAATTATATCTACAGATTATATTCATTTACCTACTGTCACGACGTCTTGAGTTATAGGAGTATTTCTTGAAATGATTTCGTTATCATCTTTCAATTTCGAAAAATATATGTGCTCATTGTTTACTGCAATACTGACCAGATGACTTAAGAGTTTCCATTCATTGAAGAGTTCAACTTTGTCATTTTTTTTCATGAAATACAGCTCGATAATCTCGTTTTTTGTAGAAAACAGTATTTTAGCACGACCTAAATTTCAAAGAAAGATTCGTGTTTTTATAAAGTTTAATATAAAAATAAAAAGAATATGCGCTATTACTCATACTCCCAGATTATTATAATTTACCACTCGCTTTGCAGGTTTTCTTGTCCTCCTGTAAGAAATAATCCATTTGACACCTGCAACTATACGATCCTGGAGAATTCACACATTCTTGATCACATATGCCATAAGTTTGACACTCGTCGATATCTGTAAAATAGAAAAATTAGATGAACGATATGATTTTCGCAACATTATTATGTTCGCTTTTGTTATCGCAATTTTACCTATACAAGTGCGGTTATCATTTTGTAACTTATAACCCGGCTTACAGAAACATGTACTTCCTTTAGGAGTTAGTATGCATTCATGATCGCATTTTATCGACTTGGAGCAGTTGGATGATGTACCTAAATAAAAATTAAATATAATTTAACAATATAACAAATCACGCAAAGATTATATCACGAAAGATTTAAACGTATTAAAATAAAGGACAATATTATTAAAATTTGTTGCAAAAAAGTTAATGTAATAATTAAAATATATTGAAGTATGTATAACGTAATACTCACAATCGATTTCATCTGATTTATCACCACAGTCATCCTTTCCATTGCATACTAATTTAAGAGGTATGCATAGTTGATTTTTACACAAATAATGGAAATTTTCTATTTTACAATTATTTATGCCTGAAAAGACGTAAGGCTGCATATGAAAGTTTTTATTATAATAAAATATAATTTTTATTATCCTATCGTTATTAATATGTAATCTGTATTTCTAAAAATTACTGCAGTTCAACTCGTCGCTGCCGTCGAGGCAATCGTTTTTGCCATCGCAAATCCATTCTCGAAATATGCAATGCCCGTCATTACATCGGAAGGTGTCCTTGGTGCAAATCAACTGTAGACAAAAACAGAATTGCAAATTCAAGAAAAATAATAGATACAATAAGAAAATAAATTATTATAATTGTCAATAAAACGAGTAAAATTTTGTCCCGATTCACTTACATCTTTCACGCAACCGTTGTACTCATCGCTTCCATCCGGGCAATCTGTTGTTGTGTCGCAGAACATTGTTTTCGGTATGCAAGTATCATTCGTGCTGCATTTATATTCATATTTGGAGCATATAAGGTTATGCTCTATCTAAAATAACAGAAAAAGGAGTTATATGAAAACAATTTATACTGCGAGTACATTATGTTGTTTTTAACATAACGTTAAAGAGTTAACACTACAGAATCGTCAAAATCGGAACTATAAAAGATATTCCCTCTTGGAATTATCGAAAATAATTTTTTTTTGTTTTCAGTTAATAAAGCGTTATTTTCATATTTATATACTAATTAAAAGTTTGTATCAATATATTTTTTTATATTCTATAATTACTAAAATTTTATTGCAATTAATTTTGTATCAATTAATTTATAATAATTTTGCTGTTCGCGCGTAGTTCTACTATTCGCGTGTATCATTCTTCTTTGCTATTATGCAGATAAATAATAGGGAGTTTTTGCAATATCGTTTATCCAGATACGATGAATGCTGAAGTCAGGTTATCTTTTTCTTAATAATTAATTTAAAAAAGGATAATGTAACTTTAGCCGAATCCGTATTATTGCAAAAACAATAATAATTATGTTCAAAACGAATGCCATCAAAATTGTAAGAGATAGAAAAAAATTGTCGATAAAATTTGAGTGGTTTCAAGAATACTTTATAATGGTGAAAAATTTCTTTTGTTTAATAAAAAATAAATAATTTTTATTTAAAAAATAGAAAATGAAAACAATTTTTCAATAATTATTATAATTAATCTTAAATTCGTTCAACTTTTACTGAAAATTTTTCATTTTTTATAATTCCGATAATAGCTTCGAAAGAAACTAATTTTGGAAAATCTATTTTTGTCAAAGGAATGTTTCTCTCTCTAAAAGTACATATGAGCATAAAAAAATATGCGTCTTTTATTTTAGGTTAGAAATTAAAAGTCATCAAAATCGAAGAGAACGCTTTAATTCGTTTCATTGTAAATGTTGACGACTTCGACAGTTTAAGATAAAAATAAAAATAAATTGTTTAAATATAAATAAAATTTATTAATTTTATTTTTATAAATCAAAATTATGAAAAAAATAAAAATTTAAAGAAAATTATTAACTAATACAAAAATTTATTAAATTTACAAAAGTTTTAACAATTTTTACATATCATGGAGCTAAACAGCTATAGTTCTAGTTTATAGAGTTCTACTGTAAAAACATAAGACATTGATAAATCAATAGTTTAAGTAAGTGTTATACCACAAATGGAACTATAAATGTCTTTTATAGAAACTGAATTACTTAAGGAAAAAAAATAACGTGTATTATTTTAAAAGTTTAGACAATTTTCTCTAAAGTGCTAATGAAATTTTTTTTAAGAAACTATCCATCAATAAGATTAATTAAAAATTTAATTAAAATTAAATAAAAAAAAGTAAAACTGTTACTATTTTTTAGAAGAAGAAGGGTAAATATAGAAGTGCCAGCTAAATATAGAATTTGCAGTTCTAGATTCTTGAAAGTATTAAAAATTTTTAAATAAAGAATTCCAATATGTAATGCACAATTGAATTGTAAGAAGAAGCTATATTTATCTTAAAAATCTGTAGAAAAATAGGTAAAATTTCAGGAATATTACTCAACAAAAGAAATAACGTGAGCTGTATAATACTCATGCAGTAATAATAATCACCTTATTATGGCAGATGTTAAGTGCTTCATCTGAACCATCTTCACAGTCCATTATTCCATTACATATCTGAATTTTTGGTATACACTGACCACTGACACATTCAAAAAAATCACTTTTAGATTTGGAGAACTCAGTGTCATACCCGAATCTACAGTTTAGTATTTTTGATGTGTACAAAAATCCTTTTAACACAATTGTTTATTATTAGTATTATCAGTATTTCATAATATATGTAAAAAAAGATATAATCCCGAGATGATTTATATTTTAATGCATCAATGTCTCCAAATTCGAACCAAAGATAGATATGTATACAACAATTTAATTAAGAATTAATTGAGTAAAAAAATAAAATTTTTATATTATCAAAATATCTTACTGTTAAATGTAAAAGAATATACATTGCATATAAACAGTAGTATCACAAGCCAACGCATGATCTACAAATAAACAAGTTAAAATAAAATTACAATAAAACAAATTAGGATTAACTAATTACTTATTGTTCTTCCAATTATTTTTTTAACAAATTCATTCAATATATGCATTATTAATAAGCCATGTATTTTAAATTGCTTTATTATTAAAGAAATTGGCTAAAATCAGTTGTGACATGTAGTAGAGTGAATAGATGAGCGAATTTAATGTTTGTGTAATAAATGTAATCATGAGTGCAGAATTTAGATAAAATTTGTATGGAAAATCAAATCCGAACACAAACGTAATTCTAT